TTGGTTGAAGTGATAATTGGTATAAAGGAAGATAGTTGTGGTGCCTGGAGATCAGTCATCTCAGTTCTAGGATGCAGAGATGCTTCAATGTAATTTGTACAAGTTGAGTAAGTGGATAAATGCATAGCAGATAAAGTATAATGTGGATGAATGAGAGGTTATCCACTTTGGTAGCAAAAGCAGGAAGGCAGATTATCTGACTAACAACAGATTGAGAAAGGTGGAGATGCAAGGAGAACTGGGTGTCTTTGTTCACCAGTGCTGAAAGTAAGCATGCCGATTCAGAAGGCAGTAAGACAGAACCTAACTATCGCCCTTTTACATTTAATGGTGTCACCATCACTGAATCCTGCATTACCATCCTGAGGGTTACCACTGACAAACTGAACTGGACTATCCATTCAACTACAGTGGCTCCAAAAACAGGTTAGAGGTTAGAAATCTTGAAGTAACTCACCTCCTGACAACCCAACACCCATCCACCATCTACAAGGCATAAGTCAGGAATGTGATGGAATACTCCCACTTGCCTAGCTGAGTACAATCCCAATAACATTCAAGAAGCTGGACATCAAAATAAAGCAGCCCACTTGATTAGCACCACAACCATCCAGTCCTTCCAACATTGCCACTCAGTAGCAGCAGGGTGCACTATTTACAAGATGCATGGCAGAAATTCATCATGGCTCCTAATATCGCACCTTCCAAACCCACAACCACTACAATCCAGAAGAATGAGGGCAGCAGATACATGGGGACACCACCACGTGCAAGCTTCTCTAAGGCACTCATCATCCAGATATGGAAATATATTGCTGTTCCTTCAGACTCACGCTGGGTCAAAATGTTGGAACTCCCACCCTAACAGCACAGTGCGTCTATCTACAGCCAACAGACTGCATTGATTCAAAAACACAGCTCATTACCACATTCTCAAGGGAAACCAGCATTGGCCTAACCAGGGATGCCCCCGTGAGTGAATCCAAACAAAAATTCAAAAGCAGGGGTCTTGGCTATTTTCCCCTCCCTTAACCCAGAGACACTGAGTTAATTGCAGTGTACCTATCATAGAAGCTCAATTTGATAAAATCTGAATGCAGCTTTACCAAAGCAAGGCTTGTTTTCATCCACAGGGTTCACTGTCTCAATACAAGGAGGCACTTACCTCAGTCATGCTTCTAAAATGAAAGTGTTATTGATGCTAGTTTAGTTTAGAGATTGTCCAGCTACCAATGAGACAGTAGACCTTCTCCAGCTCAGACAGCTTTAAGATCAAGTCTACAGAGTCAGCCTGGCCAATGAGACAAAATGCTTCATAAAAGGAGATCACGTACGTTGTTATTATAAACAAAATGACAGCTGTAAATAAAATGCTGTATTTACACTCAAATTTCAGCAAATCTTAGAACTAAAAATTTTGTGCAATGCAGGAAAGCATTTTAATACGTCTCAATTGTAAAGATTTAATCCACTTGTCTCTTAGGCATAGTTTTTATTAGATGCTGGATGAGTCAAGAAGAATTACAGCTCAGAACAAGGGAGCAAGTTAACGGTCACTTCCCACCGTCTAGCACCACTCAGTCCCTCACACCACCTTTCACAGCAGTTTCACAGACAACTAAACTGACAGACACTGAAATCACTCAAGGATCTTGTCTTCTTTACAATTGCAGGGCTTTAAGTCTTGGATAAAGCTTCAATTTATGTTTATCAAATTAATGACTTACCTGTGTACACCATTGTTTTGGTTGTTACGCTAGAGATAGGCAGGAGATTATTTTAGTACTCAGTGCAGCATAAGACACTGCAAATACAACTTATTAACCTCCACAACACCAAATTTCAGCTGTCATTCAGTTAGTTAAAACTGACCATAGTTCAAAGATCAGCTCACAGTCTATTTTTAAGTCCTTAAGTTCCAAGAAATTCAAACTAAGGCAGTTCAGTTCCTGGTAAACCAATCAACTATTTTGTCAGGCCATGCTGGTAAGTGTGTGAGCAAAAGTGAGTCATAAAATATGATTTTCATATTTGACTATTGATGTGCTAAAGTACTGAACTTCAGCAGTGATCAGAGCACTCAAAACTAAACAGAGGTGTGACACCAGTTGGAACTCAATAGTCTGCACACAATGTAACATTTAATGAGTCTCACAGCTCATTGGCTGAAGCCAGTTAGTGGGGAAGCAGCACACATCTCAATGCCACGAGGAAGTGGCTGAGCAGAAGGAAACTTTCAATTCCAATACTAACTGTAAATCAGGATGTGATATGTAAAGCAAAGTTGAGCTAATACTTTGATACATAACAAGGTTAGAAGTAGCAGGGTTTCTGATGGATCATCTCTTACACTGGTTTTGAACTGTTGCTCTTTTCCTTTAACTAAATCCTATGATCAAGAAGCAGGAGCACAAGTAGACCATCTGGCCCCTCAGGGCTGCTTTGCTGTTTGATAAAATCATTGCTGATCAATTTCCGTTTTGAACTCTACATTCTCATTTACCCCCGATAACCTTTGAAGCTCTAGTCCGACAAGTTCTCTGTTTAAAAACATTCAATGATGTTGCTTTCACTGCGTTCTGAGTCAAAGTGCCTCTCAGAAAAAATTGCCGAATTCCCTTCATCTGTATTTTAAAATGGTAACACCTATTTTTAAAACTGTGCTCCCTAGTTCTGGACTCATCCACAAGAGGAAAAACTCCTTTCCACGTCCACCTTCTCAAGACAGTTACTCAGGAGTCGCTCATTCTTCCAAACTTCAGTGAAAACAAGCCAAGTTTGTCAAATCTTCCCTCCTAAGACAACCGGCTTATTCCAGATATCAGTAAACCTCCTCTGAACTGCCTCCATTGCATTTACATCTTCCTTAAATAAGGTGTTCAGGAATGCAGATGGTATTCCAGATGTGGTCTCACCAGTGTCCTACTTAACTGAAGCATAACATCCAAAATCTCTCATAATAAAGGACAGTATTCCATTAGCCTTTGAAATTATTTTCTAGATCCATATGTAGATTGTACCTCCTTAATCTGACACTGTGGTCCTGCAACTTCCGTGGGCAAGCACATTATGCTGGTTCGAAACTTGCTGTACTTCCGGTTTTCCACAATTGCAGTAACAGGTAAAGAGATCCATCTATATTCTATAAAATTGCTACTTTTCACCTCATTTTATGTTGCACAGCCAATTTTAATCATGTTGTAAGTCTCCTTGCTGACCCTGACAAACGACCTCCTGTGGTCCAGCAAATTCCACAGCCTGACAAAGGATCAGTTCCAAAACTGCATGTTTATGGTGGCATGTTTACTAATGTTCTGTGACTGATGCACTGGAACACACTTCCTTCATACTTCAGAATTTTGCAGTTGCTCTCCATTTTAGTGCCCTTTCTTATCCTTCCTGCCATGTGAGCAACTTTACATTTTTACATATTAAACTCCGTCTACTAGATTTTTGCTCACTCACTTTACCTATCTATATAGGGAAAAAACCCAGAAAATAGAAACATAGAAAGGAGGAGGAATGGGCTATTTAGCCCATCAAGGCTGCTGTGCAATTCAACATTAGTTTGGCCGATCCTCTACCTCAACACGCAACACCTTTAGTATCAAGAAATCTATTCAGTAACTCGAGTCTCCTGTGGTACAGGACTGCATAGGCTCACCAGTCTTCAAATAAGTTCTCATTTGAGCTCTAAATGGCCTCCCTATATCCTAAAACCATGATCGTTGCTCCCCACCACTCTCCGCAGCCAGGTAAACCTCTTCTCTGCACCCTCTCTCATTTAGCCATGTCAGAACTATCTAGATTTCAAAGAGATCCATTCTCATGATGCTGAGCTCCAAAGAATATAGGATTTACAAGCTGTTTATATCAGACATAATGCCGATTTGCAAATGCCTTAGGTTTTCTTCACAACATATTTTCCTATAAGCATTCATGTGTCATCTACAAATTTAACTACCCTGGCCTTCACTCCCATCTAAAGCCTTGATGTGAACTTCAAAATGCTGAGGTTCCAATACACTTGTCTTCATGTCAATCTGAAAATGAGTCATTTGACACATTTATGCATGCTGTTTTCATCAGCTAATCTTCTATGCTAATATGTTACCATGATAACAATGAGCTCCTACTTTGCGCAATAACCTCATGTAGCACCTTGTCACATACCTTCTGGAAGTACAGTACCTCGAAAGGCTCCCCTTTATTCATAAGGCATGTTGGTTCTTCAATGAATCCCAATAGATTAGTTAAACGTGATTTCCCTTGTACAAAACTATGCTGATTCTTCCTAAGTATTAGGTTTTTCCAGGTCCCTGGTTATAACCTCCTTAATGATCAATTCTAACACTTTCTCCATGACAGATCTCAAGCTAACTGACCGCAAAAATTCTGTTTTCTGCCTCCCTCCTTTCTTAAATTGAGGAATTGTTGCCTATTTTCTTTACTGAAAAGAAAAAAAAACACCTTTTACATGTCATTGAACAAAAACAAAAGAATTCACATACTTGCAACAAGCCTCTTGACTGGAATAGCCAACTGCCCCATTTGGGAAAGGTGGACTGCCAACTCTCACAAATAACAGTGACCTAGCACCCTTTTCTCTCTTTTCATTTTCACCCCCAGTGTGGGTGCAGCATCTCTTTACCAAGACAAGACGGTTTCAATACAACATTTTGACATCAAGTATCACATTTGCAAAATTTAGCTTTTTCCTAAAAGTTAACCCATCCCTAGTGCAGTTTCCCGACAGTCTCAGTAGTAGAATGGATTTAGTGTTAATCACAGTCTGCTCTGGGAAAAGGCGAGCCTTTGTTTAAAAAGAACAGTTCTGTGATTCACTCACCTGTCAAAGCATTGGGAGAATCCATCATACGATTCAATGGAGGAAAACCATATGAAATGAATTAACAGATGTCTTTAAATACCTTATTTGGATGCTCTGTACAAAGACGTCAACCAAAAGTATGCTCAGTATGTAAGATGCAAGCTCTTACCTTTCCACACAAGTATACAACATTTGTGTCTGCATCATAGAAAGGTAAAAGCACGCCATTGCTGGTATCCATTTCATGCAGAGCTATGGGCTCATCCATGTTCTCCTAAAAAGAGAATCCAGAATCAGTAACAGCAATACCAAATTTTTAAAAACATACTGCAAATTGCTCCTCCTTCCATTAACTGCAGTTCCCTTGCTGCTAGATGTTCCCAGTATGATGTTTCTTAGTCGAACAGGCACACATAAACCTGCTCTTTGGGCTATTATGCATAGCTAAACACAGGCTCAATGGCTTCAGTTGGGACATTTGCTGGGTTTAGGAAGTTATCGATTATTCTGATGTCCAGCCTTGAACCAACAGATCATATAGCAACAACAGGAATGAAGGAACAGGAACATGCCATTTAGCCCAGTAAGCTTGCACTTTCATTCAACTAAATCATGACTGATTTGCAGCTTAATCCATTTTCCCTCTTGATCCAAATCCTTCAACCTAATGAAAATCTGAGTTTTAAAAGTTTCAATCAACCCCAAAGCTGAACAATCTTTCTTTTTGTGTTTTGGCGGTGTTTGAGGGGTAGAATTCTAGATTTCCTAAAACCTCCTTTTCATAAAGGAGTGCTCCATAACATTATCCTAAGAAAGCTATGTGTCTTTATGACCTTCAAACCTCTGAACAAAAATAACGAATACCATCCAATTGTGCTTTCGGTAGCCACAATAAGAGACATTATAACACCAGTATTAAAGCTATAAGCTGTACTTGCCATGAGAAAATGCGAGAGTATTGCATAAACTCTCTCAATATTCAAATGCTGTAGCAAACCAAAAAAGTTTCTAATAATGATAACAAGGTGCATCAGTGCCACATGGTGGTTGACAACAGTACTGCAAAAAACAGCAGCAAAGTACAGAACACAGATACACAAGAGAAAAAACACTGCATTTATACACAATTGCCTGTAAGGACTCCCAGCTGTTTGTGCTGTGCTATGGGATCATTCATATCCACAACATGGGCACAGAGTCTTGGTTCACCATTTCTTTCAAAAAGCCAGGACCCCCTATCAATGCAACATTCCTGTCAGCATTGCACTGAACCATCAGGCTGGATTATAAATTCAAGTCCTGGAGTGCTAGAAAACTGAGCAAAGACACGTTCTTCTCAACACTGTGGAATGACTGAATTCAATCTGAGATTGAGGCAGAACATGTCAACTTTAGAAGTAGGATTGGATAGGTGTTTGGAATAAAAGGAGATTGGGATCAGGGTGAGTACATATAATTTGAAAGACCCCTTAAACAATGAAACTCTCTGGTTGAGTCAGGTGGACTTTTGCAGAGTGTAGAAATTGAAAGATTAAAAATAGCACAAACTTCTTGGTCAAAGAAATGCCTTGGATACGTTAGGTCAAGTTCACATTTAGTTGTTGCATAGCCTGGCCGATGCCAGCTCTCTATACATTCTTCACCATTGGCTTTGTACATGTAATAAGGGAGGGTAGAGTTCTGGAAAAGATGTGGATTAGACAACTTCATAGAAGGATTTGATGAATGAATGAAGAATCACATCTAGATCAAAATTAAAATTTGGTTACATCAGTTTTTATACAAAACTGTCAACTGAGTATACAGATTTCTCTTTCCAGTTAAGTAAGAATAGACTGGGCTCACATTCAGCTACTAACATCAAAACAATGGTATCATTCTGGTATATTGGTGACACCACCAAAGTGATCCAGTGGAGGACTAATTCAACTGGACAGGTTCAGTTAGGGTCTTTTAGGGTCCTTTTCTGAAGAAGGGTCTAGACCCGAAACGTCAACTTGCCTGCTCCTCTGATGCTGTTTGGCCGGCTGTGTTCATCCAGCTCTACACCTTGTTATCTCAGTTTCAGTTAAGGTCACTTTTTACTAAATATATTTTAAATTAGACATCTTAAAATGAGCCAAGCCATATTTTTCAATATAATAGCGAGTTTTCTGAGCAACAAGCTCTTCTAACACTGTTCAAGATTACAGTTCTATTATTCTGCCACTGGAGGTTCCAAGACAACAGCCTTGAGTTGTAGAACGGACCTGACCACTGCGATACAACAGATGGTCATGCTAACATTAACTCCAAGTAAATAAAGGTCTGGTCATCTGATTTGCAATTAGACTGCACATCCTGTTAAAGGGGTTTCATTTTTGAGGAAGGAAATTTTCAGCAATTATTCTCCATTTCCCAAACAATGTAACAGGACAAATGGCTGGGTACACACAGGGTCTGGGAAAAGTGATGCTAATATTACTGGTCATCTGGGCGTGTTATCCAGGAGGGCCCAGGATCAGTGGCACAAAGCAGTAATCGAAATACATGGGACAAAAATGAAATTCATCCCCAAAATGCCTGGAAAATTCAGAAGAATAAAGAACAGTAACAGCAATTGAATAGGTACCTTGGACCACCAAGGGTGCTGACACATAGTGCCTTTCTAAACTAAAAGTCTTTTGCCTCTACATTTTCTTTAAACTTATCCACTTTTAACTTCAACCATGTCCACTAGCAACTGACATTTCTATCCGAGGAAAAGAATGGATACTTGGAGTCCATCTTAAAAGTGCCATAAATTGAATGCACAGATTTTCTATGGAAATACTTTTCCAATTATAGGTTGCTGCTGATAGGTGTACTACAGCATGCAACTAGAGAAGCAATGAGAAAATGTGGCGGTGTTGGTGAGGCATTACAACACTAAGTAGTGCAAGTTGGTGCTGCATAGGTTGTGTCTATGTGTGCATGTAAGTTTTTTTTGGGGAGGGGGTGGAAACAAGGCTGAGGGGGTCCAGCAGGAGAGGTACAAGGATTAGCAAGTTGAAAAAAGTTTCAAACCTGCCAACAAAAGTAATGCTCGTTTAACTAAGAGCTACGGCAAAAAATGACTGCCTGCTCAAAAATATTCCAGCTTTGCACATACAGGATGGAAATGAATGAGTTGTTAACATCAAGTCTGTAGGTACGTTTAGAGTGATGGCTTTATTGTGTAGGGGTGTGTCAGTTATTTTCAAAAACAATGTTTGTTGCTAGCTCATGTCTGCTTTTTCTTGCAGAATGTAAATACTGAGGGGTGAGGGGGTCCACGACATTAATGTTTTCCTGGTGTTTTGTGGCTTTAACTAAGTGGAGGTTTGATTGCGACTGAAGAGCCCTTAGGTGGAAGAATAAAGGGGCACAGAAACTGAAGAATCACCAGAGCCCACAATTTCTCTCCCTACCACTACCTGCACCATGAAGCCCCGTATCACTTTATTCTACTACACAAGGGAAATCTCAAAATTCACTCAAACAGCATGCTGAATTTAGCCATAAAATAGATCAGAAAAATATTTACTAAGAGAATGTAGATGTCTTTCTTCTCTCCTCTCCTCTCCTCTCCTCTCCCTCAACCTAAATGGTGTTTAAAACCAAAACTCACCGGGTTCCACAGAGCAAGCTGCCGTTCACTCATGCGGCTGAAGCCGGTGGTGAAGATATTGCCATTTGTCAAGAACACTGCTCTCATTGGCCTTGCTCCCTCGTGAGCTTTATCCTTTTCCTGGAAGGAAGAATATTTAAAAGTGATTTTTCACTTAAATTAGAAAGAGCAAAGAATTCCTTATTGTATTAAATGCACATTCCATCCGCACATAAATTACAAGTTTGTTGGTAGCCTCTGATTTCCAAATTAGTGTAATCAACAGGAATGATTTCTCTTATGGCTACACATCTCATCACTCCTTACCAGCTGTCCCTTTGTGCCAGTCAGTATATGTATTGGTTGCAGACAGAGAATTTTCTTCTTTCCCACTCCCTCCTCTTATTACTGTTTCTTCTATGTTTCTATGTCACATGAATTTACATTTACTCAAACCTCCTACAAAGGAAGCAATGGTTTGCAGTTCGCAGGTTTGAAGATACTGTCAGTTTTTGGTTCATCTCCACAAACCTCCAATGACTTTTTCTTACGTCAAAGCCTTCTAACTCTTCAAGCCCATTAGCAACACATCACACTCTTGGAGAGGATACAAGACAAAACTTCTGATTGACAACCAACCACCCACTCTCTTTGGTCAAATCTTCAAACACCCTCAGTTATTATATTGAATTTTAGTCACTTGGTAGCGCAGAAGTTTGGTATTGCTAATAAAAATGAGATATACTGTTGAGGGTTTTCATTTGATACTTGTCTTGATAAGCTCAAGGCAAAACGCTTTGACAGCATCACTTTTCAGCAATACCTCGATTTTGACTGAAACCTGCCCCTCCCATTCAATGGATCTTCTGATTCACTTACAGCAATAATTTCCTCTTTGCGTGGATCAATCACTCTTAGTTTCTTGTCCTTGCAAGTCGTGCACAGCAGGCTGCCATTACGGTTCCAAGATATGCTAAAGATCATATCTGGGTGCATCTCATCGAGTGTTATCATGGCCTCAGCTGTTCCCACATTCCAGATGATGATTATATTGTCACATCCTAAACGGGAAAAGAAACATATCGAATGAGCTAAAAAGATGTGAATTGAAGTGGTGACTTTCATGATCTTGGGATGTCAAAATTAATCCCTGAACTCAAGTAGGTACAAGGAGGGATCAATGCAAGTCAGATTATCCCTGCAATCCAGTTTCAGAATCAAAATAACTCCCATCACAATTCTCAGGGAAGTAACTGAGCACATACGCTGCAACACAAATCTGTATTTTAATGGCATACTTATTTCAAATTAGATTTACAGAGTATTCATTCAACTAAAAATGAAATGTATGTTTCATTTTTGCACCATTTGTAATAAAATTTCAATCAGCTGTTTTATATGTAAATTAGTCAGCTTTGACACAGGGAGATGAGACTAAGTACAGACTTCAGACAACCTTCATGTAACTGAAGCAGGAAGCACTAGTTTCATTCAATCCCCATTTTAAATTCATATATTCGTACTGACGTTTAATTTTACATTGATTAGAAGGAAACAGGAAACTGAGAACAAGTTTGTCAGACATTAAGTGTAGGACATTATTTGACATAGAGGCTGAGGAGTTAGTAACTCAAAATGGAGGGCATAGCTAGAGAATATAGTCACAGGATGATCAGTTTATATAGGTACATTCAAATGAAAATAAGGATACAAGAATTTATCATGAAAGACAACTAAAGAATTGCAAGAAAATATGACTTCAAAGGGATAGGAAGAGGTTTACAGAAACAATCTTAAATTATGCTGATAACCTCACAGAAACAAATTTCCTATCCCGAGGACAAGGGATTTGTAAAGCCATGAGCCTGATGCGCAAGCAAAATACAATGAAAAATTTGATGATTTTTGCAAATACAAAAAGGAGAGAAGTATTAACTATAATCATTCAATACCACAAAATGCAGCTGTTCCGCAGTAAATATCAGACACTACCTGCTCTCCTTGTGTAGGAAGAATACAGGTAGGCCTGATCAGAGATCAATCAGGAACTAACCACCTTTGTGCAGAGTCATTCATGTGTTTTCAAAAAGCTAGCTTCCTCTCAAATCGATGCTAAAGTGCATTGGTCAGTTGCTGTGAAGACCACATTGTTTTATTTTTGATAATGGGCCAAAATGTGGAAAGGATACTGCTTTAAAGCCAAAAAGCTGTGTTTCCCCCAAAGTATTCTTTTCCTACCTAATTACATCTACGCTGTTTTTGTTTATCTATGTCTGTCTGCATTTGTATGCAGAGGTTTAGCAAAGGGCAGAGGTTATGTTAGAAAGTTATGCTGATAATTCATTTTTTTTGCTTGCCCATGGTTAGAACTGATCTATTTGGGACAAATGGCAGTTGTACAGAAGTTGAGTCAATGTCTTCTGTTAATCAGTCTCCAATTTTCCTGTCTGATGGGTGAAGTAATTTGATTAAATCTATAACTTTTGTGATGATCCTGGGAGTGGTGAGGCTCAAGTATCAAGTATTCCAAGTGCATCATGACACTGCCCAGATGTGATTTACCACTGCTTCATTTCACTCAACTGAATGGGACACTTCCAAACATAACAAGTGATGCAGACTGGGCAATGGTTTGGTTAGCCAAGGTTATATTCATACAGTGCAGTTCTTAATGCATCATTTGTTAAAAATTCTCTCACCATAGTCATTTCATTGTTACTGGTACATCTGTTTTCCATAAGAAACATCTCAAACCAAATTTGAGTCAAACAAGTGTTTTTGTGGATTAGAACCCGATAAACTAAACAGTAATTTATTAGTTTTTCATTTCAGAATGGCTTTTAGCTCAACAGTTTTTTTTTTAAGACAGACAATGAAACGGAATTATTTAATAATTCTACTAGGTTTGACTCAGTCTACCACATACAAGAGTGACAGGAATCAAGTAACTTGGAGCATGGCAATATTTAAGTATTTTTGTTTTCATTGTATCTAGCGAATCTGGCAGATGGACACTATAGCTGGTCATCTTGTTAGACTGGTTTGTAATAAAAATGGTTCACCATGACTCACCTAAAGGAGATGGCCTGTAGTTTATAAAAGTATAGTTTTCAGAATTGGCCATTCAGGACAGGTGATAGCAAGACACAAGAGAGTAAACGATTTTGTGGGTAACCAGTTTACAGATACATTTTGTACAAGTATCTTCCAAGTTGAGACAACACTGAAGTAGCATGGTATTTAGAAAAAAAAATCCTCATTTTTGAAATATTAGACAGGAAAGGGCTAACAGCCTGAAGTTTGCTGTAAGGAAGTTACTTCAATCTTGTTCTTAGTGATAATGATTAAGCAGTTGGCAAACACAAGGTGATTAGAGAGACCCAACATCAACTTGTAACAGGCAAGTCTTGTCCAACAAACCTGGATGATTTTTTTTTTAAGAAACGTGTCAAACATTGTTGTTAAGACATGGTCTATGGAGATTATTTAATTCCGTTCTAAATAAGAGTACATTAAATTGCTGGCAACCTGTTGGCTAAGAATTGGAAATAAGCTAGGAGAGGGAGAATAGGAACAGTAGTTATGTACTCACTGGCAAGATGGAATGGTGATGCTTCCAAGGACGTGTTCTGGCGCTTCAGTTTTTCACTATTTGTAAATGTTTTGAAACAAAGGAATGAAGGCCTATATATGTTAAGTTTTCTGATGGCACTAACTCAGGTGGAAGGGTAAATAGAAGGAGCAGGAAGTTGCAAAGTTACATTACTCGATTCTTTTATGTGGTAGATGCTGGAAATGCAATGTTGGAAAGTGTAAGGTCTCTAACTTTGCGCTCTAGAAAAGATAAAAACATTATTTTCCACACGACAAGAAGTTAGCGATTATTTATGAACAGAGATATATTTGTGTCCAAGTACAGGAACACAAGCCAAAATTTTAAAAAGCTAATGGAATTTTATTCAAAATCTGGAACACAAGTTCCAAGTCTGCAAGGGTTAGGCCACATCTGGAATAGTGCATTTAATTCTGATGAATGTGATTTTGGCCTTGAAAGGGTGCAGCACCTGATTCATCAAAATGCCAGCATGATGTTTTTGATTAGAGAATTTGATAAGCACATAGTAACATGTAGGCCCAGACCAGATTAGGACAGCAAATTTCCCTGCCTAAGAGGACACCAGTGAATCAGACGGGTTTTTCCAACAAACGACAATGGTTTCATAGTCATTAGATGTTTAATTCCCAATTTTTTTTTTTAAAATTCAAATTCCACCACGACATGATTGGAACTCAGGTCCCCAGAACAGTATCTGGGTCTCTGGATTATTAGTCACGCAATAATACCATTAGGGCATCACCTCCCTTAAGAACCCCTCAGAACCACTTACTTCCACAAGGATACTGGATGAGATTTTTAGTTAAGCAAGAGTATGAAGGGTTACTAAAACAAGACACAAATGACGTAAAGCTACAGATCAGCTATGATTTAAGTGAATGTTGGAACAAGGTCAAGGGGCTGAATGGCCAAATCCGGCTCCCGTGTCCCAACAAATCATGGAGTAATTACTTCAATCGACTGAAATCTACTGTTTCTGTTCTCATTTTTGTTAAATTTGATCACCTAATAAACCCCAACATGTTCTTTATGACTCAAGATTACATGGTGTGTCGGTGTTATTTGTCAGTTGGAAAGACTAGAATTATGAGGCAGTTAATCAGCAGCATAAGGAATTTATTGTTCAACCTGGGAACACTACAGTATCAAATACTTTGCGCATGAGGTCATGCTATCGTTCAGAGGCAGTGAGGCTTGCTAACAGGAATGACCATTTACACTGTCACAAGAAAAGTAATTGTAGAAAGCCTGATGGCTCTTTATGTAGCATAGACAGACAAAGGTCAAGAGACAAGATGAAACAAGCTGGTATAAATGGAAATGCACAATTCTAAAAACTCCAAATAGAAAATACTAAAAATGCATGGAATTCAGGATTCTTGGGTCAATATCTTAGGAGGGACCCTTCTTGGAAGTAATATGTGCAAAGGTGGTATGTTTGTGTGAGAAGTATTTAACTACAATATTGTTGACAGAGGAGAGTTACTGCTTTGTCCATATATTCAAAGACATTTACTTAAAGGTGGAGAAGGGAACACACCAAATGAGGTGATGGTAAAGTTCAGTTCAGAACTCCCAGGTATAAAACATAGGTTTTCCAAAAATGTTTGCCCTGGTTTAAGTGAACACTAAATAAGGAAGCAAGGCAAGAAGGTTATGTTGATTCAATAGAGAGAAAGGACGGCAGGAATCATCTCATACGCAGCATCACTGTCATCACACAGTTAAGCTAAAATGGGATGTTTGGGTTCTGTAAATTCATGGTAATATAAAACTAGTTCCTCAAATCACTGCCCAAGTTTGGAACAGTAGAACAATTATTTCAGAAGCACAACACTTTGTTTCAGTGGGTAAATGCGGTGTATTGTGTAATACTGAGCCACAGGAATCAGGAAGGTTTCAGTTTTAATCTTTGATACATCTCAACTTAGTACTTGACCAAGGGAGTAACGGAGATGTTAAAACTTGTTCGTCCCTCTTTTCAGAGGTAGCACGAGAAAGATAATGATACAGAGGGGAGGTGATGGCCTAGAGATATTATTGCGACATTAACAACCCAGAAACTCAGCTCAGAGATAGCAAGAACTGCAGATGCTGGAATCAGAGATAACAGCGTGGAGCTGGAGGAACACAGTAGGCCAGGCAGCAGAGGAGCAGGAAAGTTGACGTTTCAGGTCAGGACCCTTCTTCAGAAATGGGGAGGGGGAAGGGAGCTCAAAAAAAAAATGGAGGAGGAGGAGGAGTGGGGCTGCATGTTCTTTCATCTTTCTTTTTGTACTAGACACTAACCCCTCTTCAACTCAACACTTGTGCGTCATTAATGCTGCATCTTTATTATTTTTCTTGGGGGTTAGCAAATAAATTATTCCTCTGTTCACTCACGAAAACCTTGAAATTGGCTCTTCAATTGCTCCTGAATTAGTTTACTTTTTTTTGAAGTGAGAT